CTGCTGGTAGGGGCGGGGAAGGGGAAGTCTTCGCTAAACCGAGATTGGGCCCTGGGGCCCAAGGGACCCTTAGATGGTCAGTGTGAGATAAGTAAGTGTGTGTGTTGAGCGAGTGAAGGAGGGGACCTTGATCATACGCATCCCACTCCCACCCCAATTTATCTTAGCAATCTCGAAGGTTGCCACACACTTAGGAACCTCAGGATCGATCCGTCTTTCTCAGCAAAGCATTATTTAAAACAGTTTTCCAAGTTCATCAGTCATATGATTTGTCTATCCAAGCGTTGCCCAGCAAAGGAATAAAAGCAAAACAACACCGAACAATCCAAAAGCTACCTCTCCCTTTCCTCCTCCTTTTCCTTTGACATCGCTCTATGATCTACAAAGCACCCTTATCTACACTGGTTCGTTTCATTTCCAGACATCTATGACTTAAATGTTGTTATCTCCACTTTGCAGAACTTGAAGTTAAACTTTGGGGACAGATATTAAGTAAAGAACCCCTAATCACCAGGTTGGTAAGTAGAAATGGCCTCAAAATCCATGGTTGAAATCCCTGGCTCCTCCATATTCCAGTCGTCTCCCCACCTTTCTAGTCTTGAGAGTTCCGTGCGTGATTTTGTTGTTATAATGCAACGCAGAGATAAATTATAGTCTAGGGAAGCGATTACTGTTCAGGTTGTGTATGGAAGAGTGCGCTCCTGGATGCTGAATGCTAAGTCAGCCCAACCATTCAAAGTAAAAAATGTCAAAAGAGCCCCCAGAATTACCCTGACCCACACCAACCAAAAATTAAACACCCTCCCCCTCATCCCCAAAGGAAACAAAACAAAACTGCAAACTGCCTGCTGCCTCGTGGTTTTCTAACTGGAAGGAACTTTGCAGTGCGTGGTGCGGGGGTGTGGACTTCATTTGGAGGTGGACACCAATGGAGCGCCTACTGTGTGCCAGTCACTGGGCTCGGCGCCATGTGACTGCCTACTAAGTAATTAAGAATAAAATTTAAAACAACAAAATAATTAAAATTCTATCAGGTTGGGGTAGGCTTACTCCCTGAGCCTTCACACCCGTATTAGGAGGTTGCTTGTCTTTCCCCTAAGGACTCAGGCTTCCAGGCTAAGCGAAGGGCAAGGAGAAGGATATGCAGTCAGCCCAGGACAGAGCGGTCCAGCCTCACTAGGCTGGCTCCTCCCGCAGAACAAATGCGCCCGGGCTCAGAGCCTGAAGTGCCACAACAGGTGGCTGCCTGGGCTGACTTCATCACTCAGGCATCATTCCACCTTAGTCTCCCAGGCCACGTCTTTCTCTTGGGGGATGTTTCACACAACCCGTCCTGCCCCACCCCCACCTCACCCCC